AGTCCAGAGAAAAGAGGCTGAGGAAACCTCAACATTAAAATAACATCAAGTACTGAAACAAGCAAATGAGTTCAAATATCTCAGCAGCATCTCAAAAGATGGCACCTTAGATGCAGAAATCAACACCAGATGCATTGAAGCAAACAGCTTTGTTACAACACAAACAAGTATCTCTTGAAACAAAACAACTTTCTACAACAACATCTTTATACCAACACTTTGTTATCAGTGCCAGACATCGACATTAACATCAAGAAATGAAAGGAAGATTGTCTAAACAGAAATGTGATGCCTCAGAATAATTCTTGGTGTTACCATAAGAGACAAAATATATAATGACACATATGAACAAAGGGTGAAACAGAACCAGTCAAATGGTTCAGACACCTAATTAGAGAAAATTCCAATTTCTGCCACAAAGAGCATTAAATACAAAGATAAATGGATGGAAAGCCACAGATGGTGGAATAAAGGTGTGCTTAGCATCCTCAAGAGCATGATGACACAGGAGGCAAATAAACAAGAAAGAAACCATTCCCTGTGTCTCCCCTCAACATTGCAAGGCATCAGAGTGATTTGAATGATCAAATTTATGATCTTTACATAAATACTCTCTGTATCTAGATAGTTTCGTAGTTAAGGGCCCAACAACTACTTAAAAGGACTTTTTTACTGAACTGATGGGACTTCTGTACTTCCAACACTGATGTTGAGGTGTTCAATATGGCCCTACAGTTCTTGTTCAGTGTTTGGTGATCCACAAACAAGAGGCCATTTAAGGATTCTTCTTCAACAGGGTTTGCAATTTTGCATACATGGTAAATATTTGTTATAAAAAGAAGTGGTGAAAGGATAGAACAAAAATTTGAAACTTGTGTAAACCTCAAACTTTTATATTCCTATTTAATGTGTATTACCAAATGATTTCGAACAGACATGTCCAATACTTTACTTTTATACTATAATAAAACTGGCTTCTATAAAGCAATTTGGTACAAGTCTGAAGTAGAATGAAACAATAATGACAATAACCAAAGTCACTAAAGTAACAATCTGTAATTCATCAATCTTTAACAATGAAATTAATCACCTACTGTTACACATTCATATGAAAAAAGTGAATTTTTTATGCAAATTTAAACATAAAATGACAATTTGTTTTGTCATTAAGCTATCTGTGCTGTGCCCAATATGGGTACTGAAACTTGATTTGTAGTGTAATAAACTCTCAGACTTACAGTGGGGTACGATATTTGGTATAAAAAATTCTGTGAATGAAAGAAAAATCACTTGATATACTCTTGTTTATGGCTGTTGCCTGCCAATTCTCGAAAGTGAGGATTGTTCTAGAATAGTAGAAGAAGCTGGATGCGGCAGTTTAGATGGTGCAGTATGATTGGTGTAGAGTAGTCACATGATCAGCACATGTTCTGAAATGGTGCAAAACTGATAGGGTATAAAGACTGGTGTACTGTAGGAATTTTTTTCTTAGTAATGCTTAGAGAGCAAACCAGGACTGAGATAGCTTTGGATGTTAGGATGTAAGTACCTGTTGGAAATACATTTTCAGATTAAGAAAATGTTAACTTTTGGATGTATGTAGTTTGGATTTTTCTTGTACAAGGCCCCTGCCTCTTCCACCCTTTGGGAAAAACTTTCATTCAGTCAAGACCAAGATGGGAAGATGACAGCCAAGTTTCGCAAGCTGATGGGAATTAAGGAAGAAGGTGGTGATGTTGGCTGCAGTGAAAGTGTTGAAGGGAACCCACAACCTCAAACAGAGGATGAAGCTTTGAAACAACAGGAGTCACTCTTCAGAGACCTAGATCAACAGTATGAAATAGCTAGAATGTCTACACACACACACAGAGGAGTTGGACTAGGCTATTCATCTCAACCAACAGCTTTCTTCCCTCCAGCTCAGAAGTGAGATATTTGGTGCTGGAGAAAGAAAGATGAGAGACTGCTTAGAACCGACAATATAAGTGTATATCTGCAAAAGAAAGAGGTTATATTTGAGTTTAAAACCTTTCTTGATTCAAGTCAATCCAAATTTTACATTTTCTTGTCTTATTTATAAAGTAGACAAAATACAAAATTGTTTACTCTTAATATTCTCAAGATTGGAGATTTCACATAAAGAAGCCTTTCATATTTTGGGATTACTTGTAAGAACTTTTCAGAATAAGTTATTTCCTTAGCATATATAATGAGTTTCAAAATAATATTAAATAAATAGTTGGAATTAGTAACTGTGTTAAAAACTGATATAATTTTTTTGGAAATTTTATTAGTAAACCAGCACAACATTGCACTAAACTAAAAAAGATAATAATGAAGTATAAGCAGACTGTAAGTATTTGAAAATGTTTTGTACATAATGCTAGAAAGGTTGTCAGAGCCACAAGTGTGAGGAGCCTTTACATTAACATGTATCATCACTTGCTTAGTTTTAGATATCTTTTACCATAGAATGTATAAACTGTTGATGTAGAGTAGTAATACATGGTTTTCTGTTAATAGCTTCTTTATTTGAAATCAATGTGACAAGTGTGTTACTCGGTGTTGCAACCAACTTCTGTCTTTGGTGTAAAAGATGTTATAATAAAATATTTTCAGAAAATTTTATACTTTTAATGTTATCGTTGATTTTCCCAGCTTTTGCACATTATATAAAACCTCTCCCTTTTGTTACGTACTGAAATTGGTCTATTCATGTCATTAATAGTAAAAATATATGTTGATATAGAATAGATTTGGAAAGTAACAAGTTACTTATTGGACATTCTTTACTTATGAAATTCAACGTCACACACACTTTATTTTATTTTTACAAATCTTAAATCTCTTGCATAGCTTTTTTTTTTCAAACCAGTGATAAAAAAAATAAATGAAATGGAGATTTCTGATTTTGAAACAAAAACAAATTAATTTACAGTTACAGAATTAGAAAGTGACCCAAGTGTGGAGTTTGAGTCTATATATGTTAGTGTATGCTTCAACTGTACTGTTGATTTTAGGGTATAATAATCCATTGTAGCAACAAGTGTCTCCCACTAATAGCAGCTGATGTTATTTTTTGTCAGACAGATTTAGACATACTTTCACAAGCAGTTACCTGACTTTGACACAATGTGAAACAACTCAAGAAAATCCATGCACAGTACATTTTAACAGGTGTAGTCTGGTGCAAGAACACCTTAATTCTTGATGAACTGAATAATGTTGTTCTATGTCTTATATATAAAAGACACTGTGTATTCCTCTATTTACAAGCTAAAAGACACTATACATTGCATATTTACAACCTGAAAGATGTCCTTCTCCTCAACTTACAAGATAAAAGACACTATACATTGTGTATTTATAACCTGAAAGATGTCCTTCTCCTCAACTTACAAGATAAAAGATACTATACATTGTGTATTTATAACCTGAAAGATGTTGTTTTCCTCAACTTACAAGCTAAAAGACACTATACATTGTGTATTTACAACCTGAAAGACATTGTTCTCCTCAACTTACAAGATAAAAGATACTATACATTGTGTATTTATAACCTGAAAGATGTTTTCCTCAACTTACAAGATAAAAGATACTATACATTGTGTATTTACAACCTGAAAAATGTTGTTTTCCTCAACTTACAAGATAAAAGATACTATACATTGTGTATTTACAACCTGAGAGAGACTGTTTTATTCCTTTACTTGCAAGTTATAGGACATTATACGTTGTATATTTACAACTTGAAGACCCTCCTGTACTTTAATGCTGAAGAACTGTTGTATCTCTTTACCTAAAAGAAAAATAATGCCGTATATTGTGTTCTGAGAAAGTAAGTGACTGTTCTGTTCCTCTTGTATTTATGAACCAAAAAAGACACTAGTTTATTGATATTGTACTTGTAATATGAATTACTGTTGCACTTCATCTAATTGTAGTCTTCCTATAACTTAACGTTCAGTTGACAGATGGACTGACATATAAAGGTTTTAACTTCAGTTAACATGTAACTTTTCTCCTTTGTAAGTTAAAGTTACATTTCACATTACATTACTAAACTAGAGTTTTTCTTTTCAGATATTTTTCCAATAAACATTAATCAAAATCTAATTACGTAGAATATCCATAAATTACTGACTAGTTGCCTTCTATCACTTTTTATATTAAGGGTGGCTAGTCCAGATAGCCCTTAAGTAGTTTTGTATTAAATTCAACAAATATAGGTAATGGTTATTTTGTAAATATTATAAATTTCAGTATCTCAGTGAGGAGGAAGGGTT